CTGGGGCAGGAAGAAGTGGGGGGACATGGGGCAGGGGTTGCCAGGCTCGGGGAGCTGGGGGAGAGTGACACTGTGGGGCTGACAAACAGGGCTGGGGCCCTGACCTGCTAGGTATGGGGGGTTATTTTGGGGGCGCCTGGGCGCTGCAGCATCACCCAGCTCTGGATCCCCGGGGGCAGGGCCCTCCCCACAAGCTGGGCTGTGCTGGCTGCTCCTGTGCTGACCAGTCTGCCCCACACTGTGTCCCTGTGAACCAGACTGGCATGATTTTGCGGAAATACTTTTAACAGAGAAGTTTTTCTGTTAAAAGTATTTCCTCCAAAGAGTGTCTAGATTGGCACAGATGCGACTGCAAAATTGAGAATGGCAGGCCCCCAGGAATTCTCTACTTCACATTCTTTATCAATATTGCATGGTACAGCTGGGAACAGCAGCACCTCCTGCTCCTAGGCTACAGTAATTCTTGCGCAAGAGGGCTTATCCCTGAGCGGGAGCATCAAAGTATTTGCGCAAGAAGCCCTGAATTCTTACATTAGAACGTCCGTGCTCTTGCGCAAATGCAAGTGGCCAGTGTAGACAGCTGGCAAGCTTTGGCGCAAAATCTTGCCAGTCTAGATGCACCCCTAGTGAAATAGTTTTTCCTAATATCCAACCTGGACCCCTCCCACCACAACTTGAGACCATTGCTCCTTGTTCTGCCATCTGTCACTACTGAGAACAGCCTCTCTCCAGCTCTTTGGAACCTCCCTTCAGGAAGTTGAAGGCTGCTATCAAATCCCCCCTCACACTTCTCTTCTGCAGACTAAACAGACCCAACTCCCTCAGCCTCTCCTCGTAGGTCATATGCTCCAGCCCCCTAATGATTTTGGTCGCCCTCCGCTGGACCCTCTCCAATGCGTCCACATTCTTTCTATAGTGGGGGCCCAGAACTGGACACAATACTCCAGATGTGGCCTCACCAGAGCTGAATAAAGGGGAAATCCTGGGCTACTCCCCCTTTACATGCCAGCCAGGCACCCCCACATTTACCCAATCAACAGTCCCCCGAATCCTTTCCTTCCACTTGAGGAAACCGAGGCGTGTGTTGTCGTGCACCACCAGGAGAAACACACCCAGCTGGGGGTGCTCTGCTGGCCAGCTGGGCAGTGTG